TATATATATATATATATATATATATTTTTATGTTTATACACACACACACACACACACACACACACACACACACACATATATATATATATATATATATATATATATATATATTGCGTATATTTTAGCAGAATGTTTTCATTAAGTCATGTCTCAAACTATATATCCTGTAGTCAAATTAGCTTCAAAATTAGGTCTTCAAAAGTCGCATGATACGCGAGTATATACGGTATTTCTTTTTAATTAGTATAAACGTTATTTTAGTGGATGCGCCTTTTTATGTAGACTTTTTTTTTGTGAAAAGTTAAATTAACTACTACCGGCCTATCGAAAGTTTTATTAAAGAAAATGTACCTGTCTGTGACTATTAAGACTTTCGATGAATCTAGGCCGGTAGACATCAATTTGACTGTCTGTAAATAAATAGGTATATCTACTGACACAGGGGTTCCCACTAAAATATCTTCATAGTAATAATAAATATTTACATGAAAATAAGAAGGTATACATTACAAACTATGATCGGTGGGGGTGGGGAGAAACTAAAAATTAGAGAATTTAAGAATGGCAATAATTTAATAAATCTTATCTCGACACTCAGATGTATTCTTTAAAAACATAGAATGAACAATAGATTTCCGGAAGGTTATTAATTTTTATAAATATAAATGGCAATAGGAAAATTGGAGTTATTGCTGACGCGTTTCGTCCAATGTGGACTTTCTCAAAGCAAAAAAACGAAATGAATTTATTTAAACAGAGTAGCTAAATAAATTCATTTCGTTTTTTCCTTTGAGAAAGTCCACGTTATACGAAACGAGTCAGCAAATACTACAGTTTTCCTATTGCCATTTATATTTATAAATATTGTCTTTTCTACAGGTTAACTCTGAGAAATTTTCAAGTTTATTAGTAAATATCCACCGATTTTGAGATATCGCTAAGCAGGTAGCAGCGTCTTAAATGGATAAACGTAATATCTATCTATCTATCTATCTATCTATCTATCTATCTATATATATATATATATATATATATATATATATAAGTGGACATTGAGATCAACACCCTGTAGCAGCAGTGTGTTTTATGCTTAAACGATATCTTCAGACATTAATCATGAAACAGACTGTCGACGTTCGGTGTCGACCTCAATAACCACTTTTATATTTATATATATATCCCTGATATTGAACAGCTTAACCCATAAATATAGAATAGACTTGTAACATATATATGTTTTATCATATATATATATATATATATATATATATATACTGTGTAACCCGTATACAAGAGAGTTGTCGGGACCGGAGAAGAAGTCTCTCATATCCGGTTTCTCTTATATCCGGGTTTCTCTTATATCCGGGTTTGTTCTATTTATATACATTAACACAGGCTCTAATTTGGGACCAGAAAATCTCTCTTATATCCGGGTTTCTCTTATATCCGGGTCTCTTATATTCAGGTTACTGTATATATATATATATATATATATATATATATATATATATATATATATATATACGTATATATATATATATATATATATATATATATATATATATATATATATATGTGTGTGTGGGTGCGTGTTTTGTGTGTATGTGTGTTGATGCGTGTGTATGAATGGTGCTAAAAATTAGTCGCCCCCAACCTGCTTTCAAAAGATAACCAGTTAACAGCATTATAAAGAACAAAACGCAATATATATATATATATATATATATATATATATATATATATATATATATATAATATATAATATATATATATATATATATATATATATATATATATATATATATATATATTATATATATATATCCGTCTGTGTGTGCGTCTGTGTGTGCGTCTGTGTGTCTCTATGTTTGTGTGTATGATTGTTTTGTGTATATGTGAGTTTTTGTGTGTATATGAGTGGTATTGCAAAAATTCTCTGCACAACACACTTTCAGAAACCGAGATCTTTGGTGCGGAAAATGTCGTGGTTGGGCTGATAACATATCAGCCGAAGAGCAGCATGTTGTGACTGAAAAATAAAGGAAGCTGGAGAAAATTGTAACAAAAAAACAAAAAAAACAAATAGAAAGGATATAAGAAACAAGAAGAGAAACCTGTATTCGTCTGCAGACGACATTAAACGGACGAAAAATAAAAGGAAGGAAAATGGACAAAGAATATAAGGGGAGCGGAAAAAAAGAGACTTCATCTTCACATTCATATTTAATTTAAGAAACAGATTTTATTTCTCCAAATTAGGGTTTGATATAAAGTTGCAAGAGAATGTGATAGCCTAATTCGGCGCATAAACTGACCGTCGGGGGTCTAGCAGGACAACGCTTAAAATAAACGACTGGAAACTTTGCGCTGTCACGGCGTTCAAAGGTAAAAATAGGACAAGTATGATGTTTGGGAAAAAACGACTTGTAATTCTATCTTTGGAGTTTCTCTTTGGTACTTTTGTCTTTTATTCTTATAAAATCTTTTTTTTTTTCCTTTTATTTTGATTGCGCCTTTTATAGTATCTTTCATATTCTCTTTTTTTTATATAAATTTTCACGCATTTATTTGTTTAAATTTTTTCTTTTCTGTTCTTTGCTTTTTTTTCATTATTTCTATTTCATTTTTTGATTCTTTATTATTTTATTCACGCCTTTTTTCATCTTTTTATTTCTTTTCTTTTTCCTTTCTTTATAATTTTTTCTCTCACATTTATTTTCTTTGTTAATTTTTATCTTCCTTTTTCTTTGTTTTTTTTTCAAATCTTCATTTTTCTTTCACTTTCTTTATTCTGATTTTCTGCTTCTTCTTTTTTTTTTTTATTTTATTCACGTCTTTTTTAATATCTTTCTTTCATTATTTTCTTTTTTCTTTCGTTACCATTTTTCATCTCGCATTTATTTTCTTTATTAAACATTTTTTTTTTTTTTTTTTGTTTCTTTTCAAATCTTCATTTTTCCTTCACCTTCTTTATTCTTATTTTCTGATCTTCCTGTGGGCCAAGCCAAACAGGTAAACGTTTGTCTAGTTATGGTACGAATCATCTTGGGAAGAATTAAATACTTTTGGTTATCGCATCTTTGGTCAACGCAAACTTTGTTTCTTAGGCTTTGTTATTCCTTTCTTTTTTTCTCTAAAGAAAGAAAAATATTTAAAAAAAGGAAAGGAAGGAAAAAATTAAATAAAGAAAGAGTGTAAAGAAAGAAAAAAGATTTAAAAAAGAAAAGAAAAAAATAAATAAAGTGTGTAAATAAAGAAAGAAAATATTAAAAAAGGAAAGAAAGGAGAGCGAGAAAAATGATAAATAAATAAAAAGATTGGGAAGAAGAGAAACGTTTCAAAATATAGGAAGAAAATTCTTTGAGAGAACAAGTGTAGGAAAAAAACAAAAAAACTAAACAAAAAAGAAAAAAAAATAAGGCAAGATGTAAATACCTGAACAAAAAGGAAACAAATATAAAGAAAATTCATCGAATCAGAAAATATGAAAGACAGAAAAGGAGCAAAATTTCAAAAGAACGGAAAAAAATGAAATAAAAAGATTTAAAAAAAGAAAGGAGAAAGAAAGGAGAGAAGAGAAAGAAAAAATCAATAAAGAAAGAGGGTAAAGAAAAGAGAAAGAAAGAAAAAATTGAGAAGATGAAAAATGAAAAAGATTTAAAAAAGAAAAGAAAGAAAGAAAAAATCAACAAAGAAAGTGGGAAAAGAAAGAAAGAAAAAGATTTAAAAAGTGAAAGAATAGAAATTTCAATAAAGAAATAAATTTAAAAAATGGAAAAGAGAACTGTTTCAAGAAGAAAACGAAAAAAAAATTAAAAAGGAATGAAAGGAGAAAAAGT